CTCTCAGTACCTTTTTGAGTACCTTTAGAAACTTGAGGAAATGTGGTGGCCACACTCTGGGCACCTGATTCCTTAATTCATATGTGCATTGAGAGAGTAAGCCACAGTCAATACGCAGGGCTACCTCCATGCCTCATTTTGGTTCTTTATTCTCTATGACTTTACCCATGCTGTCTTTTATATCAGAAATTGGATCCTCTTACATATTTTCATTTGTTGAAGTTTCTTTCTTCTTTCAGAGCTTAACTTGGGTCCAGCCATCATGAAGATTTCTCAGCTGAAAATGATCCCTCTTTCTTGAAATTTCAAATTTCTGATGGTATTTTTTCCTGGATCTATTCTTTGCATGCATCTTACTCTCTTTCATATTTAATTTTGTAATAAATACACGCATATATGTGTGTGTATATATATATATATATATATATATATATATATGTGTGTGTGTGTGTGTGTGTATGTGTGTGTGTGTGTATATATATATATATACATATACATATACACACATGCATACATACATACAAAGATATTTAAGTTACTTGAATGCAGGGCATATATATATACACATATACATGAAGATATATATGCATATATGTATATATATGCACACATAAATATATAAATATATTATATATATATAAATATAAATATAAAGATATATATAAAACCAACACCTAGTAGAGTAGTCAATAAATGTCAAATAATAGAAAATTACAAGAAATCATTTCAATTCTCTTGTGGTATGATGGCAACTTGAGTCTATCTAAAATGTTAATGATGGCAATTATCTATGAGAGCTCGTTGGGAATATATGATGAAATGTATAGTATAGTAGCAGGACTGAACTTGGGTAGGTAGATTAGAAGACTGCTAATGTAGAGATCATCTTGTGAGCACAAAGATGGTCTCCCTGTCCCCCAAAATACCTTTCTACCCATTCTTGTGGTGAAAATGCACAATTAGAAATTCACAGAATCTGGGAATCTAAAACTTGGAAGGGATCTCAGCAGCTGTGTAGTCCAACCCATATTCAAATTAGAATCCTCACTACAATAGTCCTAATTCCTTATATCTTTAGTCAATTTCACTTTTGAGTGGCTATAATTATTAAGGTTTTTTCTTATATCAAGCCTAAATTTGCCTCTTTGCAAACAAAACAAAATGAAAAAGAACTCTACTCATTGCTCCTAGCACTACCTTCTGGCTCTAAGTATTAGGAATCTACTTTTTCTTCCTCAAGAAAATCCTTTAAATACTTGAAGAGAGCTATCAGGTCCCTCCTTCTTCAAGTCTTCTCTTCTCTAGACTAAACATACCAAGTCCCTGCAACAGATTTTTATATGACATGAATTCAAAGACCTGACTGTCATCCTTTGGATGCTTTTTTACATTATCAATATTCTTTCTGTAATGCAATGCTCATTAGGAATACAATATTCCAGACTGAGTCTGAAAAGATCAAAAAATACAATAGGACTAGCAACTCTATTCCTAGGAACAGTACCTACATTTGCGCAGCTGGTGATTACATTTGCTTCATTGACATGTTGTTAACTTGTATTGAGCTTTCAGTCCATTAGATGCCCACATATTTTAGAGACAAACTTCTACCTGATGATATCTCCCCCATCTTTTATTTGTGAAGTCAATAGCTTTGAATCCAATTGTAAAACTTTACATATAAGCCTATTTCATTTCATCTTATTTTATTTGGTCCAAGGTTTAACTTCTCAAGATTTTTTCTTCTTCTTTTTAAATTTCGACTCTATAAGCAGTGTGTTAAGTATCTCTGAAGTTTGGACTATTACATACCTATTTAATAAGCATGATCTTCTGCCTTTATACAAGTCGTCTGTTAAAATGGTCAATACCATTGAGTCAAGCACAGAACTCCTCTGGCATTCTACACAAGATCTACTTCCAAGTTAACATGGAACCATTAAAGTCTACTCATTGAGTCCATTCATTTTCTAACGTCAGAATCCATCTAACTGTGTTATCACCTTGCCTATATCTTTGTGTCTTTTCCTTAAGAACAATACGACAGATTTTTTTCAAATACTCTGCCAAAATCCAGGTAAACCATTAATGATATTTACATGATCTGTAAGTCTAGTAAAATTCAATTGCAACAATAAATATTGTTAGTCCAACATAGCCATTTCTCAATGGAGCCATATGGTTCATTGTTGTCAATGCTTTCTTTTTGAAATATGTGCTATCTAATAATATGCTCTAGAATTTTGCTAGGAATCAGTAAAGATCACTGCCCTATAGCTTGTAGATCTTATCCTCTTTTCTTTCTAGAAAATTGGAAAATTTCTATTTCAGTAGTCCTGTGATATCTCACTCATTCTGCGTGATTTTTGCATATCAATGGCAATAGCTCAGCAATCACATCTGCCAGTTCATTTAGTACTAGAGGATATAGTTTTTCTATCCACATGACTTGAAATCATCAAGCTCAGGTTAGTCAACTTCAAGCTAGTGTTCTGCTCTACTGAATCAGAGCTTTTTAAAAAGTAATTAAATAAAAAACACAATGGGATTTTACATTCTTTAAGTCTTTTAGTCAATTGCTTAATTATAAAAATGTGATTTGTGTAATAATGATTTACAAAAACCAAACAAAAACCTGCCTATTCCCTTTAAATGTCCTCATTAATCATTCCTTTGATTTATGGGTAGGTCAATTTCATAAACATCTTACATAGATGGGAAAGTAGGCATATGGGTTGGTAGTTATTGGCATTCTCTCACTTCTTCCCATAACAAAGACCCATCGTTTTTAATGCTAATCTTACAAAGGTAATGATGTTGGGCTTTGAAGCATGGAAAACTACAAACTCTGAATAATTGAAGTTGAGGATCACTCACATAACAATGGAGAGATGCATGATGAACATGTACAGGCTATAATGTATTCCAAGCACAGGGGAATAAGTGTAAAGGATGTCATCAAATACATGTATTGAAGAAGAAAGCTAGCTAGTCATGTAGAGAATGAGGTAGATTCACTGGCAGGCCTTAGTGCTTCGTTGGTTATTCCTCATGATGTCAAGAAAAAGTACAGAAAACTCCAACACACTCTCCACTGTAGAGAACCCAGGGGAGAGCTGGGAATGAGTCACATAAGATGGGAATATGTGGATGGTTGTAATCTGTATCATTGAATGGAATATTCACAATGATGATCCAAAAGAGCATTGGCCCATTAAAACCACTCTCTTTCCTGGGTACATAACCCCTAGTAGCTTCCCTGAGCTTCTCAAGCATTTCAGCCCTTTTGTTGGGGTTGTCTTTGTAGCCCCTCACTCTATATCAGCTTATACTTTCCCCCCTGTTCTAACTTCTTTCTTTTTATATTCTTCCTCCATTCCATTCACAATCTTATCCTTCAACCTCTCTTTAACTCTGAGAAATCTCGACCAGTGTTTTTTCTCATCAACCAGCATTATTATTTTCAAACTACTCATCTATATTTAGAAAAACTCTTGTTCCAAGATATACAATGTTACACTCAAATATAAGTTACTTTGGGGAAGTGGGTTTTATCACTGGTGGTAGCATAAGAAATTTTTTAGGGATAAGTACTAAGAGGGGAAGACATTTTTAGAGGACAAATATTGTTTACGTTATAATCCTACTTAGGACAGGATTGTAGCCCTGGGAGAAACCTTCATTCCCATACCTGTCTTGCTTCAGCCTCTATCAGTGTTGTGGTGGCCCCATCGAAAGCCAAAGTCAGGAATGGGCATGAACATAAAAGAGCTCTAGAAAGCTCCTTCCTCTAAAATACTTCAAATCATTTTTTTTCAGTCTCTCATGATACAAAAAACAATAAATTAGCACTGTAATTCCAGTATGGGAAGAAAGGAAGCTAGACTGAAGACACAAGACTGAAAAGTGAGATTTGCCCTTTCTCTTTTCTTTATTAAACTTTTTTTCCCATGAACAAAAATTTATTTTTTCTTCCTCTCATCCCATACCATTAGGAAGAAAGAAAACTCTTGTGAAAAATAAGTCAAGCAAACAAATTTTACATTGGCCCTATCTAAAACTTTGTCTTGCTTTACACTTTGAATCCATCATCTCTCTTTCTAGAAATGAGTACCCTGCTTCTCCATCTGTCCTCTGGAATCATAGCTGTTCATTGTGTTGACTAGAGTTCTTAGAGTTTATTTGTTTTCACACTGTTGTAATGATATAAACTATTTTAATTCTGCTTACTTCATTCTGTGTTAGTTTATATATTTTCCAAGATTTCAATTTCCATCCCTTTCATCATATTGTATGGCACAATAGTATTTCATCACATTCCTAAACCATAATTTGTTTAACCCTTCCCCAGCTGATGAACAGAGTCATCTAGGTTGCACAATGGATAAATGCCAGGCCTGAAGTTAGGAATACCTGAGTTCAAATCTGGTCTCAGACACTAGCTATATGACCCTGGCAAGTCATTTGACCCAATGTGCCTTAGTTTTCTCATCTGCAAAATGAGCCGGAGAAGGAAATGACAAACTGCTCTAGTACCTTTGTGAAGAAAACCTCAAATGAGGTCATGAAGAGGTTATAGCTTAATGGGGGACAAAACTGAAAAATGACTGAAGAAGAACAAATTGATCGACATCCCCTTAGTTTTCCAATCCTTGCTACTACAAAAACAGCTGATATATATATATATATATATATATATATATATATATATATATATATATATATATATATATATATATATATATATATATATATATATATATATATTGTGTGTGTGTGTGTGGGTCCTTTTCATCTCTACTTAAATTCTTTGGGAAATAGGCATGCAAATAGTATCATTGGGTCAAAGAGTATGCACAGTTTAGTGACATTTTGGGTAAAATTGCAAATTATTTCCCAGAACAACTGGACCAATTATCAGTTACAACAATAATGAATTAATGTACCTGTTTTCCCGTAATCTCTCCAACATTTTAAATTTTTCTTCTTTTTTTTGTCAGCTTTGCCAGTCTTATGGTTGTATGGTAGAACTTCAGAGTAATACAGAAGGAGTTTCTGAAGATCTCTTTCCATTGAGAGGGGAGAGGACATGAAAAGAGATGGTAAAGTAATGTGAATAGTTCTGCAGTCCCATTTTGGTTAATTTCATGTGTGCAATGTCCTGGTAGCCCCATACCTGAGTGGGAGGAGTCCTTTGTCATTTTAGCACAGGTGCCACAGCTTCCCAGTCTGTTTGTAATCAGTCACCAGTCAGCAGGTGGTATGGGAAATGTGCATGTTTGAGTAGCATCATGCTGTTCTCTTAATTATTGTGGTCTTGTGTTTCAAAGTTTGCATAACATATTCTCTCTCAATCAACATAAACATAAAGTTGTAAGTGTGGTTTTAAAGCAAAGGTGAAAATGCAAGAGAAAGGGCCTGGCTTTATTTATAAAAATAATTTATAGAAATATATAGAGCATATAGAAATAATTTATACAAAAATATTTCAAATTTGTCTATGGGTGGCTGTAAAAATGAGGCAGGATTTGACCGTCTAAAAAGAAGGAAACATTCTGCGGTTGTTGTCCCTTGTCCCTCCACCCCCAGGGGTATCATATCAGCCTTTTAAAATTTAGGATTCTTTTTGGTCTGGATTGGAGTAGAATTCTCTAAAATTGCTATAGATCATTGCTAGAGATGTTTTGTTAAAAGAAAACAAAAAGGCACCAAAGTTTTCTTGTCATTTGATGAAAACATTCAGAATTACAAAATAAAACAATCAATTTTAAATGGAAATATATACAAATGAATGCTAAATAAACTCTTAAAAAGTATTCATAAATTGAAGAACCATTGATGAAGACTTTGCATTGAGATCACTGTCAGCCAGAATCCATTTTGGCAATAGTGAAACCAAAGCAAAGAAACTGGTTGGTATCAGACACTACAATATGTTCTGTAGTCAAAACTTTATCTCCTAGCTTAAATGATTAACTGAGAAAGAAAAACAAGCATATTAGAGACAAGTGCAGAATATTAGACAGAGCACTGAACTGGGAGCCAAAGAATCTGCTTTGCCTTTGTGTTACCTTTGGCAAGTCACTTAGCCTCAGTTTACTCATCTGTAAAATGAGGAGGTGAAACTAGATGATCTCCAAATTCCCCTTAGACTCCAATCATATCATTTAGCTTCAATTTCTGCAAAACTGTTCTTAATTATTCATATTTCGGATAACACTTCTATACCTAACTAAAACATTTTAATGTAGATTTGTATTTTACCTCAGTGATGAAGTGATAACAGATTTAAATGTGACTTTTTTGCTGTTTTTATAAATATCACATATATGCTTCAGTTCTTTGATGCATCTGTGATAACGGTGATGTGAGCATATCAAAATCTACCCACACCTTCTAATTCAGAGCAATTTTTATCCCTGTCCTTCCATAAATCCTTACAAATTGATAATGAAAAGAATTGAATAGGAAAAGGAGGGTAGTCTAGATTGTATTTGGAGGATCTGCAATTATTTGACGGATCTCAAGTTTTTCCATGAAATAAAGGCCTATTTTTTAATATCAGTAGTCTTCCATTAATGTTGTATGTCAGGGATTCATGGAATGCCACAGTGTTATTAAAATCAAGGATCACTCAAAGGGTAATTGGGAGGAACATGGTGGGGAGCAGGTCAATATTATTATTATTGCAAATAAGGACCTTTTCAGGATAAGCAGAGCAAAAGATGTCATCAGAAAAAAGAAGGTAGATCAGTCATGTAGGTGGAAACAAAACTGATAGACCATGCACATACTCCATTACTATCCATGAAATGCCAAGTGAACTAATGGCATGTCCTCAGTCCAATGAGTGGAGCCTAAAGCTGATCTATGGGTGGACCTGGAAAAGAACATTCCAGGATGGACAGGCATGGATAGGTTTCAATTTACAGAATTGAAGGAAATAACATATATCAATAATATTTGTCAAAGTATCAGCAACAACAATACTAATTAGCTAATGTTGAGATGGTCTGAAAAGTACTTTTTTATTACTAATTATAGTCTCTCATTTAATTCTCACAACAACCCTGTAAAGTATATGCTATTATGATCTCATTTTACAGATGAAAAAACTGAGCCTGAGAGAGGGTGACATAGTATGTATGTGTATGTGCTTTATTTATCAAAGTAAGCCTCTTCATGATTGTCTGTTTGCTCATGCTCCATATGCAAGGTACCTACTACGATTTTAGTGGTTCATGGTAGAGAATTTGTATATGCTACCATTCTGTAGTAAATTGGAGCTGAGAAACAGAGATTTCATATAATTCTTTCATTCAAGCTGAGATTTTCCTGAAGTCTTAATGGGTAGTAAGTATATGGCTTGGGAATGAGGGGAGAAGATGTTAGTCCTGGCTCTGGCCATATGACCTTGAGTCATTTTGCCTTTCCAGACCTTGTTTTTCTCAGCAGTAAAATTAAGGCCTTAAATTAGATAATGTCAACATTTCCTTCAGGTTCTAGACAATTTTGTGACAAGAGATGGGGTAAGTGTTGTGCCTCTCTCTCTGATCTGCCTAAAGGAGGTGCATGAATTGCTGGCAGCAAGTGCCTAACATCAGTTATTCCTCATAGTTACTGTTTCTGATTCTGCTTTGTTTCTCTTGTTTCCAATATGATCCTGAGTTATGAAGATGAAATGTTTTCCCAAGAAAACATTGCATTTTATGTATTGAGATTCAAATGATTAGAGTCCTAATCGCTAAGTTACATCTCCAAGTCATAGAAGATGCTGAGCATTCTAAGGATCACATTTGATATCCAGCCAAGATTCAACTATGATTTTTTCACGAATGATTCATTGTAGGGAGACCATTTTCTAAGTAGAAATCCTGGAGAGTCCAATCATTAGCTCCCATGCTGAACCAGGATCTTTTGAAAGTCTCCAGTAGGAAATCATAACAATTCCATGAGAAAATTTCAATAAAACTTGCTAAAGAATTCAGATTCCTCTGAGGAATGTGGGATGGAACTAAAGAAGTTTGAATTTAAGCAAAGTAAATTGCTGAACATCCCACTTTCACTTGTCATTCCCTCCCCATCAAGGAAATTATGGATGCTAAGTACTTTCTTAAGTATAGAATACAGGACTGTTAGCTTGCTCTCTCTCTTCCTCTCCCCCTGCCCCTCCAACCTCCTCCTTCAAAGGAGAAAATGCTGGGAAGAGTAGTGTTTATGCCTAATCATTCTTTACCACCTGCTGGGAGGGTGTATGAGGGTGTGTGTTTGTGTATGTGTGTGTGTGTGTGTGTAGTAACAGCTAGGAATTGTCTAACACTTCAAAATTTCCCTAACATTTTATGTATGTTAACTCTTTCACCTGTGAGATAGGTGCTATTTTGGTTCCCAGTTTACAGATGAGGAAACTGAGGCTGAGAGAAGTTAGGTGACTTGCCCAGGGTGACATGGATAGTAAGTTTCTGAGGTAGGATTTGAACTGAAGTCTTTCTGATTCCTAGTCTAACAACTACAGGATACAATAGCAAGGAGGACTCCAAGAGTCTTCAAAATAGTTTTCCAGTATAAGAAAAGACTTCAAGTTTTGAAAGATCTGGCTTTGAATTCCATTTTAAAAGGTTGCCTTCTAGTCTTCTTAATCAATTTCCCTTGCTTTTAATGACTTTAATATTCATCTTGTCCATGCCCAAATTAGGGCATCTATACGCTCTTTTTTTTTAACTCATTTTTTTTTCCCAGATTTTAATTTAGTTATTTTTAGTTTTCAACATTCACTTCCATAAGATTTTGAGTTTCGAATTTTCACCCCATCTTATCCCTACCCCCACCCCAAGATGGCATGCATTCCTCTAATTCTCCCTCCCTTTTATCTCTCTTCCCCCCTTCTCTTATCTCCTTCCCCTTCAATTTTCCTGTAGGGCAGGATAGATTTTCATACCCTATTGCCTGTATATCTTATTTCCCAGTTGAATGTGAAAACAATTTTTAAAATTTGTTTTTAAAACTTTAGGTTCTAAATTTTCTCTCTTCCTCCCTCCCCACTCACCCTCATTGAGAAGGCAAGTAACTCCACACAGGTTATACATGTGTAGTTATGCAAAACACTTCCACAGTAGTGGTGTTGTGAAAAACTAAGTATATTTCCCTTAATATAATCCCACCCCCCATTTAGTCTATTCTCTCTTTTGACCCTGCCCCTCCTTAGAAGTGTTTACTCCTGATTACCCCTTCCCCCAATCTGCACTCTCCTCTATCATTGCTCTGCTCTCTTGTCCCCTTCCCCCCTATTTTCCTGTAGGATAAGATAGATTCCATACTCAATTGAGTATGTATGTATTTCCCTCTTAAGCCAAATCTGATGAGAATAACATTTGCTCATTCTCTCCCACCTTCCCCCACTTCCCCTCCAATGTAAAAGCCTTTTCTTGTCTGTTTTATGTGAGTTAATTTATCCCATTCTACCTCTCCTTTTCTTCTTCTCCTAGTATAATCCTCTTCTCACCCCTCAATTTTATTCTCCAGATACCATCCCTTCATGTTCAACTCACCCAGTGCCTTCTGTTTAGGTATCTGTATATACATACAAATAATTTTCCCCCTCCAACGACCCTAATACTGACAAAGGTCTCATGAGTTGCAAATATCATCTTTCCATGCAGGAATGTAAACAGTTCAACCTTAATAAGTCTCTTATGATTTCTCTTTCCTGTTTAGCTCTTCATGTTCTTCTTGAATCTTGTATTTGAAAGGCAAATTTTATATTCAGCTCTGGTCTTTTCATCAAGAAAGCTTGAAAGTCCTCTATTTCACTGAATGACTATTTTTTCCCCTGAAGGCTTATACTCAGTTTTGCTGGGTAGGTGATTCTTTGTTGTAATCCTATCTCCTTTGCCCTCTAGAATATTATATTCCAAGCCCTCTGGTCCCTTAATGTAGAAGCTGCTAAATCTTGTGTTATCCTGATTGTGTTTCCATAATACTTGAATTGTTTCTTTCTGACTGTTTGTAATATTTTCTCCTTGCCTTGGGAACTCTGGAATTTGGCTACAATATTCCTAGTAGTTTTCCTTTGGGTATCTCTTTCAGGAGGTGATTGGTGGAT